GAAGTGGCGTGTCTTCCCTGCACAGACTCTAAAAATGGACCCCCATTATGTGATGAGGACACTTTCCCAGTCTTCTGTAAAAAGCTACTCAAAGAAAGCTTCTAGTTCCTCTTTCAGTGCATGGCAGCCCCGAGTGCCTGCTCAGTGGGCCCCCGGGTCCCCGCCTCCAGCCTGTCCCTCCGGCCCCAATCTGAGCGGTCCCCATGTACCTGGATGGAGACGTCGCTGTAGGAGCCGCCAATGACACCGGTGATGGCGGTAGGAGCATCGTCGTGGGTGGCGTAGGAGCCGTCAGGGCAGATGTGGCGGGAGCCGTCCGCGCCTCTGCTAAGCGAGGCCCGCACAAAGTCCAGGGCCTGCTCCAGGGCGTACGTGTCCTTGGAGCAGCTGTCCAGGATGTGCGCGCCCAGGCGCACTCCCGGCAGCAGGTGCGGGTCCCGGTTGATGCGGTCCAGAGCGAACAGCATGGCCTCCAGGCGCTGGATGCCCCGGTGCTGGTTGATAGGCCCGCACTCCTCTGTGGGGCCACCCTTCTGGTGGACGGGGAACAGGCCGCCCAGCACCAGGTCCCCCTCCAGGGTCAGCACCTTCTTGGCCGGGCCCTCGGCCACAGCGCCCCACAGCAGCAGTGCCAGGAGCGCAGGCAGTGACCCCATGGCCCCGAAGGGGAGGGAAGCCTCCAGCAGACCTGAGCCTCCAGGGGAGGAGAGTAGAAGCAGCAAAGCCAAAGAGGGGAGGGAGTAGGGAGCAGGAAAGGACAGACAGGAAGAGAGATGAGAAGGGGCCTGGCTCCTGCAGAGAGAGACGGACGGACGGACAGACAGACAGGAGAGGAATCTGAGAGCGGCTGCCCCTTCTGAGTCTGCCTCCCCTGGTTCCCCTTTCCCAGGCACTGAGGAGGCAGCGAGACGCGACAGCACAGACTAGGCCGAGAAGTGCCCGGGACACCCCTCGGCCTGCCCCTCAGCCCTGCCCTGCCCTGGGTCTGGAGATGGGCCCTGTGCCCATTGCAACTCAGCAGAGAGTGGGAGACAGAGCAAGCAGGAGCCCCAGCTGACACCAGCAACACCATGAATGGAATAGTGTCCAGAAGCCAGCGCAGCCCTCCCAGGGCCCTAGGGTCAACAACCACACGGCAGAAGCCAGGTTGGACTCATGAACTTGGGGTCCGGCGCTCACCCAGAGCCTTGGCTTCCCTGGCCGGGCCACTGCTGGCTAAGACCCCACCCACCGGGGAAGAGGGAGGGAAGGGTATCCAACCGTTCAGGAGACTGGAGGCCTGGTGAGCACCCAAGGGCCCCAGCTTTTGGTTCTGAAAAAGCCGCCTGGCTGTGGGAGTGACAGAGACTCTGGCAGCAAGGTGGGGAGGCTGGCCCCAGGGAGGGACGCTGAGGTAGCCACAGGTCTGAAGGCAGCAGGGTACGGAGGTGTGAGCACATGTGTGTGTCTGGGGTGGGGGCAGTTCATCTGGTCGAAATCTCAAAACCAGTGCTAAGGAAGGGGAGGCATCTCAACATCTCAGCTCTACGCAGAACACTGTTGGAGACTTGGCATTCCCTTCCTCTCCAGCTCAGAACGAAGCAAAGTCACCATCTCCGGTCTCCTCATCCTCAGCATCTGGGCCCCATTCACCCCGGCCCGGCCCGGCCCTCAGGGCCTTCCCTGTTCCCCACCCTGCGCCCCATCAGGTGCCCGCTGCCCACACAGACACTGGCCCCACACACTCAGTCATGAGGGCTTGGGAAGCCAGGAGAGAGGAACTGAGCAACTAGTTCAAGGTCCCCATGTCCTGGCCACAGAGGTGGAGGCTGTCTTCTCACTTCCCTCAGCTCCCCAGGGTTGGGGACTGGGATCCGGTGGGTACCCCTGAAAGCAGCAGCTCAGGCAGGCAAACAGGAAAGAGAGGCAAGCAGGAAGACCACCAGCACAGATGGGGACAGGGACCCAGATGGGGGCTGAGGCCCAAACCCCGAAAGACCACAAGCCTCCCACAGAGGCGGCAGAGACCAAAGCTCTGATGGGTGGGGACAGAACCCCTAGAAGAGCCAGAACCCTGGAAGTGGGCAGCCCCGGGGGCCTGGGCCACACAGTCCAGGCAGGGAGCGATCCAGCCCCAGAGGCTGAGACAAAGACAAGGGGCACGGACAGAAAGACGGACCAGAGGACAGAGGGGCAGGAGGAACGAAGAGCGCTGTGCAGGGCATGAGCGTCTGGAGAAGAAACGCGGGATGCCTGGGGTTGTCTGCCCGCTTCCCGGATCTCCCGGTGGATGCGGTCTGGACACCCCAGTCCGTCCCAGACCGGGCACCCCAGAACTCTAGGGCCCGCGGGATCCTGGGACGTGGGGTCGGGACCGACAAGGTCGGCTGCGGCCGCGGCTCCACGGGCTTACCCTACCTGGCGCGCCCGGCTGTGGCGCGGACAGACGGAGAGGAGCCGGGCGCGGGGCTCCAGCTCGCACTCGCTCGCTCGCTCGCCTGCCCAGCGGCTCTGCGCTCCCCGCCAGCCCGCTCGCCCCGCAGCTTTGATTCGCCGCCCGCCCCGCCCCCAGCCCGGTGGGCCCGCCTCCAGCCCCTCCCCCGGCCCGCCCCCTCCGGGTCTCCGGCTCTCAGCGGAGCCTCCGCCTCCCTCCTCCTCTCTGGCTCGGGTTCTTCGCAGGGCGGGGGCCCGGAGCTGTCCGCCGCGTGGTGCTGACACACGGACGCTCCCGCTAGGCGACGGAGCCGGGGGCCTCCCGGCCCCCTCCACCTCACGGCCCCCTCCACCCCGCGGTCCCACTGGGTCCCAGAGAGCAGCAGACCCGGGCACGGGCCCCGGGAGGTCACGGAGCCCCGGGAGGTGGGCCCAGTGCTGTGGGTTCCCATCTGTGAGAGCAGAGGGCCTGGCCCGAGGGTTTCGGGGGCCACTGGGGCATGTGGGAGGTGGGTGGAGGGCTTAGACCCTTCTGTCCCTGCACACATCCAACCCCACTCACGGACGGCAGCTCGGTCCATATGCCAGGCCCGGGAGGGGGCCTGTGTCTCCTTCAGCCCCGTGTGAGAGCCGGGGCCTGAGTCACCGGGAGGAAAAGATGGGGGGCGGGTCAGAGGAGGACGGGGGGGGGGGGGGGGGCTCCTCCTGATTCCTGCAGATGCCCTTTAAAGCTGCTAACTCCCCCCACACCCAACCACCCAGCCCTGACCACCCATGCTGACCCCTACCCTCATGTGCAAAGCGGGCTGGAGGCTGCAGGGCCAGGGACTGGGACCAACCCTGAGGGACGGCCGGGGCTGGAGGAGAGCTGGGAGGGAGGGGCTAGGGAGAGGCTCCTGGGACTGGCTGCCGCGCAGGAGGGAGTGGGAGCAGGAGCTGAGGTGGGACCCCAGGGAGGGTGGTGGATGAGCCGCAGTGCCAGCCTGTGCGGAAGGATTTGGGGTGCGGGAGGCTGCGCAGCCTGCACCTGGAGGGCACACACTAACGAGCGCTAAGGAGCACAGCGTCCCCACTCGCGTCCCCTGGCGCTGCCCTTTTCCCCCGCAGGTGTCAGTGGAGAGCGGCTGGCTCAGACACATGCTAATGAGCACACGCCAAGGCCAGGTCCCTCCAGCACACACACCTCCTTGTGGTTCGTGAGTGGCAGCTGTAGGGGTGGCAGTGTCAGCAAGGAAGGGCAGGCTCCTTCCCTGGATGCAAACCCAAACCCGATGCCCCGTGGCTCTGGGAGGAGCACAGCTGTGAGAGGGCTGCGCGCATGGAGCCCAAACAAACACACGCCGCTGCGGATGGGCGGCGAGGTGGCAGCCGAAGGAGGGTTCGGTGCTGTCAGACGGGCTGGAGAGACAGACAGGCAGTCTTCCAGCTCCGGCTGCACTCGCCCTCCCTGGCTGGCTCCGCGGCCGCCCCCCGGGGTATGTGAGTGATGGGCCAGGCCCCTGAGCCGCGGGGCTGACAGCAGCAGGGTGCAGAGGGGAGAGGAGCTGCACCGCCGCAGCCCACTCACCCAGGCAGCCTCACAGAAGCCATGGGGCTTTCAACCCAGTGCCCGCCCCAGGGGTCCGTGACATGGCCTGCAGTGCCATAGCACGCAGACACGCAGCTACACGCCCAGCATTCCACACACAGCAGCACACATAGTCACTGTACACACAGATGCAGCCACAACACTCAACTTTAAATGTGGACACACCCAGAGCCGTACACATGGACGCGCAGGCACAGACACAACCACACAGCACACTCATGAATAATAAAAGCCACCCCGGCTCAGGAGGCTTGTTCCCCCTGCCCTCTGTGGACACACCCAGAGCTCTACTCACGGATCCCCAGTTCGCAGACCTGTGGCTTTACACGCAGACATGCAGAAAAAGACAACTTTACACATGAACACACAACCACACACAGCTGTGGACACAGAGCCACACACGGGTGATAGCAGGGTATGGAAATCCTCCCCCAGGATGGTCTGAGCCAGCCAGCCTCATACGTGGTAACACAACCACAGAGCAGGGGAGCACACCCAGCCACAATCGCATCCTGATGCCCTGGGCGAAGGTGGTCCCCAGGATTACCACCAGCAGGCCCACCCGCGGTGGCACAGACAGAGCCAGAGGTGCTGTGCACTGACACACAGGGACACAGGTGCCAGCGGGCAGGGCAGGCAGGTCTCCTGCCGGGCAGAGGCCAGCAGGGCCCAGGCCCACTGCAGCCACAGACATAAGCGCATCCCCCGGAGGCAGACAAAGGCAGACAAAGGCAGGCCGAGAGTGCTCCACCCCCGGAGGGCGCCCTGTGCTCAGCTCTCCTGCAGCCTGAGGGAGCCTCTGGGCAACGGCAACAGAGGGGCAGCTGTCAATGGGGGCCACAGAGCGGGGCGTGGAGGGCTTCCAGAACCCCCGTCCATTCCCAGTCTGGGATGGCTGGCCCCTTTCCTTCGGCTTCTTGGGCCTACCCTCCTGCCCCCTGCTCCCAGACTCTGCACAGGGCTCCCCAGGGTGGAATGAAAAACAAATGCACAGCTCAAATCCAGGTGAAACAAGAAAATCTTTTGTTTTATTCTGGGTCCTGGAAGCTCCAATGTGAGTCTGAAAAGAGATGAACAGAGATGGCAGTCCCCAGCCCTCTGGCCCTAGGAGCCGAGAGGGTAGCTTGGAGAGGGCTTGGCTAGAGGCCACGGCAGTCGTCGAACGGAGGTCCCCTGAGACTCCTGGCTCCAGCCTGGGCCCGGAAGGTAGAAAAGGAGGGCTGAAGAGTCTGATCAGTTCCTAGAGACGGCACCAGAGAAGGCCGTGGGCTGTGGGTCACTCTTCGCCCTTCTCAGGGGTACTGAGCTCCCGGGCCCACTTGGGAGTCCCCAGGGACTCAGCCTCAGGGCTGAGCCTTGGCTCCCCCAGGGGTCCCTCGCCTTCCAGGTCCAGCTCCTCAAAGGATGAGCCACTGGTGCCTGACTCGCTGTAGCTGTGCTCACTGCGGTTGTCGCTGTCGTCCCAGCCGCGGCCGCTCACCCCAGGGGACAGTGTGGCAGCTGAAGTCTCCCGGCTGCCGGGACCCACCTCAAGGCTCACAGAGCTTCCTTCACTTGTCCTGTCAGCTCCTGGGCCGGGAAGAGGGGTGCAGGTTAGCTCAGACCCCCAAACCTCCTCTGGGGAGAGGATGGCGCTTTACCATGGGCCCAGAGTCTCAGCACGCACGGCATGCTCATGAATCATACAGCCAGCTCCGCTCAGGGGAGCTCTGTGCAGCTGCCCTCTGCCCTCTGCCCTCTGCCCTGGCCGCAGGCTGCAATGGCAGGGCGGAGGGAATGAGGAGGGAGGGGGAGGGCAGCCTGCTGTGCACGCGCTCCCCGCCCCAATCAGCCTTTGCTCCTGAGGGCCCACAAAGCCTACCCCACCCCACCAGTCCATTAAGGACCACTCAGCCCAGAGCTGAGACGCTGAGAGTAGAACAAAGAAACCCAAGCGGTGCCCCACCCCCACCCCATCTCAGGCTTGGACAGAGGTTTGTCCAGGCCAGCTCCTGCAGTCCATAAGGCGTGGGGATGGGAGAACGACCAGGAAGCCTACCCTCCCACCCCTGCCCCCCAGGGAGGGCTGGCAGGGAGCTGCCACAAGCTGAAAGTCAGCTGGCCCCTGCCTCTGGCCCTGGTGCCTGACCAGCAGGAGGCTGGAGCAGGAGTGGGACGGTTGCTCCTGAGAAACCACCCTCCCACCCCAGACACACCAAGCTGGGTGCTGGGACGATGCACCTTAAGGGCTCCCTTTCCCTCACCTGGTCACCCCGGTGGAGCCCTTCCCTACCCCCGCCACTGATGGGTCCTGGACCACAAAGCAGAAGGGGACCATGACAGCATGCTGCTGGCAGCCGGAGAGGCTGGAGGACCCCAAGAGCCCGAGACAAGGAACCAGACCCACCCCAGCCAGCTCCTCCCACAGCCACAGGTGCTCCAGGCAAGCGGTCTGCATCTGCCCTGATTAGGTGCATCCCTAGATTCATCTCCTGGGCTCAGAGGCATTGGCAGCAGTTGGGGGTGGCAAGCAGGGGCCAGGAGCTCAGGCCTGCTGAGTGCAGGCCTCCAGGTGGACAGCAGGCTGGTATGCCTCCTTGCCTGAGAGAGGGAGGGGCAGCTGTCCCACGTCACAGAAGGTGAGGGGTGGGACAACTTCCCCAGATCCCGTCTCCATAGTGATGAGGCCCCGAGCCAAGGGCAGCGGGGGACTGCTTGGCATTTGGACTTGGCCTGGAACTTTCACTGATACTCAGCTGGAGTATAAGGTAGGGGTGGGGGAATTTGGGGTCTGCTCCCCCAGATCCCTGGCCCCTGAGATGTCCTGTGGGCCCTGCTGGCAGAGGTGCTGTAAGGCCCGGAAGGTCCAGGCTCCAGACCCAGGGCTCTCTTTCTGCTGGGACCCCAGCGTGGCTGCCAGGGTGCAGGCATTTGAGAGGGAGCCTGGGCAATGCCCTGATTTAAGGTGGTTCCCTCTGACTCTGAGTCAGGGCTCTTGCCCCTCATTGGCTCCTGCCCCTCATTGGCTCCTTAAACTATGATCAGTGCCCCAGGGGCTGCAGGCCTGACAGGAGCAAAAGAGGGAACAGTGTCTCTCTGACCCCCATTCAATTGTCACATTCTCCCACCCACTGGCTCTCTGGAGACTCAGGTGTGGAGACCTCCCTCTCCTGGTGCCTGGGCTAGGAGTGGTCAGAGGAAGGAGCCCAGGGTGCCCTGTCAGGCCAGGGCCCAGCATGCTGGGAGGGGACAGCCCCTGGGGACATGTGGACATTTCTAGCAAAGGCGTACAAGGCAGGGAAGTGACACCCCCCCAAATCCCCAGGGCTGCTGGGCCATGGAGTGAAGCTGCAACCTTCACCCCAGCCCCCATTTCCTCCACTGCCCGCAGCCAGCGTGGAGATCAAATATTCATCGCCTTTCTGGAGCTGAATAATACATCAATGCAGTGACAGGCACAAGGCAGCAATCACCCCCTTTCGCCTCCCAGCCCCAGAGGGGCCCCGGTTCGGGGAGAGGCAGGGGCAGGCTGAGCCTTGGACAGCCGAGCACCCATTATGCAATGCCATGCAAGTGGCGTGCACCTGGTAGACAGACACCCAGAGTCCGCCCCGGCATCAGGGCAGAGCCTGTCAGAGGTGGGCAGACCCCTGGCCTCCACACCAGGGAGCGGGTGGGCGGGTAGGCGGGCTGGTGGGAGGACAGCCCGGGAGCTAGGGGCGTGGGAGCTTCAGCTGTAGCCAGCTGCGGTGGGTACCAAGCAGCCCTTCAGCACCCTGGCAGGTGGTGTTTGGGCGGGAGGCTGGGTGGGTGGGCGGGCCAAAGAGAGGGAGAGACAGTGGCAGGGGGTGGGGGCAAAGGAAGGTCAAGGTGCTCCCCCTTCCTGCCCTGGGGACTGCTTGGGCCTGCTGACCTTGGGCCACATCCTGTGCCCACAGTCAGGGCACTGAAGACTGTCTGGCAGGCACTCCAGGCGGTGGGAGCAGCGCCCCGTGGAGGTAATTAGGCGGCAGATGAAGCTAACTGTGTAGGACACAGCCCCCAGGGAGCGCAGACTGCCTTCCAGACCCCCCACCTCGGACAGCACATGCCTCTCCAGGGTGACCTTGTCACTGAAGCCTGGACGGAGAGTGGCAATCTCCTGAAGACGGGTTAGGAGGGACAGACACTCTCCTTCTGGCTCGTGCCACGCCCGCAGGGCAAAGACATGCAGTCCACATGAGGCTCCACAAGCATGGCTGAGAGTCGGGCCTCTGGGGCCAAGGGCCATCTGGGGCGTGGTCAGCAGCAGGCCCCCTCACCCCTGAGGACAGCTTGCGGTCACAAGAGGTCACGGCAAGAACTGGGCTGAGAGCAGGCAAGTGTGCTCTGGCGGGCACCAGGGGCAGGAAGGCTGGCTCTGGGGGCAGGGGTGGCACCGCTCTCCTGTCCCCCTGCACCCTCCCTGTCCGGGTGCTCCGTGCGGCCCCCATACTGAGGGACGGGACACCTTGTTCCCCTCCTTACCTTCCAGATCCGGGCCAATCCTATTTCCCACTGAGCCCCACCCACGGGATGCCTTTCTGAGCAGCCTCTGCCCCCGCCCACGAACACCCGGCTGTGTATGGTCTGTTTCCAAGGGCACGCCTGTGACAGCTGAAGGGAATCCAGGCGGAACCTGCGTATCTGTGTTGCGGGGGGTAACACATGTGAACCCACACCTCCACGACCCCTTGTGTCTGGGAACAGGCAGCTCTGCTTGTGGGTCCTGGGTGCACAGGTCTCCTCCCACCTTGGCCAAGCTCAGCCCGGACACCCGCAGTGCAGCCCCGCCTGGGAGGAGGCCCCTCCCTCGGCCACCCTGCAGGCCCACCTCGCTGCCCGCCCATCCTCCGCACCTGTGCTGTCTGTGTGGGCATCACTGGCCTCCACGGGTCCCCGGCTCCTCCGCTCAGTCCCCTTCACCTCAGGCACATAGAAGTCTCCCTGTCGAGCCAGTGGGCACATGAAGTAGATCTGGTCCTGCTGGTAGATCTCCAGCCGAGGGTGGGCACACAGCTTCCGCTCCTTGTCAGAGACGAGCAAAGGGTGGAATGAGCCGTACGTGGGCCGCTGGTCTGAGGGGTCCCGAGACCGGCTGCTGTTTACCCTTCCCAGCACCAGCTCTGCCTACAACCCCAACGTCCCTCATGCCCTGAACCCCTGCAGGGGAGGCACACAGAGCACCCTAAGGGCACAGCCCCTCACTCCAGGGGGATGGTGGTCCGAGGACCCAGGAGTCCTTCGGACAACCCCCTTGGGTAAGTGTTAGAACAACCCTGGGGCCCTGAGCCGTGTGGATTCCAGGGTTGGGCGTCATTTGGCAAGACAAAAGGTCACCGGCTCGGTTTTGAGGTCAGGCCACATGCCTGGGTGGCAGGTTCGGTCCCTGGTCAGGGCAGGTATGGGAGGCAATGATAGGTGTTTCTCTCTTATCCATGTGTCTCTTTCCCTCTCTTGCCCTCTCTCTAAAAATAAAAACATAAAATCTTAAAAAAGAAAAGAAAAGAAAAGAAAAGAAAAGAAAAGAAAAGAAAAGAAAAGAAAAGAAAAGAAAAGAAAGAAACCAGGAGCCCCAGCCAGGTGGCTCAGTTGGTTGGAGCGTCCTGTGCACCAAAAGTGTGTGGGTTCAATTCCCAGTCAGGCTGTGGGTTTGATCTCTGGTTGGAGCCTGTGCAGTAGGCAACTGATCAATGTTTCTTTCTCACATTGATATTTCTCTTTCTCTCTCTAAACATATCCTCGGGTGATGATTAAAACACAGCACCCGGGAGCCTGGCACTGCTCATCCTGCGCTCGCCAAGGACTGACAGGCTACCCGAGGTAGCACTTGGCCGCACTCGGTCGTGAGGCCTAATGCCTCGGGCTGCCCTGCCACGGGGGCCTTGAGCCAGGGTCTGACTGCCAACTTCCCACCCCGGGCTGCCTGGCCCGCACCTCCTCTCCGCAGCCCCACCCCAGACAATGCTGCCTGACCTCTCAGGCCTCCAGTCCTGCCCGGGCCCTGGCAGACGTGTTACTGACAGACCCTGGCCAGGGCCTCCAGGCCGGCGAAGCCCTCTCCCCCCACCCCCCACGAGTCCACATCTGCCCCAGCCTCTGAGATTCTCAGATGTGGTTGGTTCCCAGCCCTTTTCCCACCAGGGTCCAGAGTTTCAGCCAAGGGGAGGAGCCAGCCCTGAGGCTGGGGCGGGCACACAGGACAAGTAGATCTAACCCTGGACATTATGGGGCCCCAAGTGCTGGGACAGTCACTCCATTCCCCTCTGTCTGGTCTTCCTGGACCTGGAACCCAAGGCTCCCTATCCCCCAGTGTGGGCAGAGGGGGAACAGATATATGCCAGAACAGGGTCAAGTGCATCTTGCTCCCGAGCCTGCCCCCTTTCCTACAATGAAGCACAATTACCCACAAAGATGACTGCGCGGCCCTGGCCTGTCTCTGCTCACCCACCAACCTTCACAACGTGGCTATTTATAGCACCGGCTGGCTCTCGCCACGGGCTCTGAAATGGACCTTCCACTCAGCAGTAATGAGAGACTCAGCAGCAGTGGGGAGAAGCCACTCCTAGGCCCCACTCGTCTGCCTGTTTGGCTGAGCCTCGGTCGAGGAGCCCCTCCAGTTAAAGCAAGTACAGAGGGTGAGGGAGGCCATCTGGGGGAGCGGGGAAGAGGGGCGAGCCTGGAAGACCTCTCGAGTCAAGTGAGGGGGGGTGCTCTGGCCCAGGTCTCACGACAGCTAAGTCTCTGACTCCACCGGCCACTTTGGGCAGAGTGGGACCCCTGCCTGACACCTCCAGGGTCATGGAAGGAAGGTCGTTATTTTTCATTGTTGGGTGTCCACTCTTTTCTGCCCAGCTGGGTGCTCCCCAAGCCATCCGATGAGTCCATGGCCCCAGCTCCCCACACCTCTGAGCAGCCGATGGCTGCCTCCACCTCTCCACCTGCCCACACACACTCCCCAGCCCCAGTCCTTGGGAGGAGGCTGAGCGAGAACATGCCAGGAAGCAGGCACTCCCAGGACGTGGGACCCTTCTAATACCAGCATCCACAGAACCTGAGCCCCTCTCGGTGAAGCAGGCCGTGTCAGCAAGGCTGGGTGGCTCCCTGAAGGTCCAGGTCCTTCCCTGGTACCCAGAGGGAAGACAAGGGAAAAGGGCCCCGACACCAGGCAGCATGTGGCCTTTACCGGCACCCCCATGCTCTGGGCGTTCTGAGGGTCCACAGAAAAGGGCCTCAGTGGCCATCAGTTACCTGGTGGACCCATCTCTCAAGGTCTGCGGACTGCTGGCTTTTGGGGATGCTCCCAAGGAGCTTGTACTCCTCTAGAAATTCCAAGGACAACGGTGCCCTACCCCAGCCCGTGCCAACACCTGAGACGCGTAGCTTCCCTTCTGGAAGTGACAGGGATGACAGAGGGATGAGTGCTCTTTCCACCCTCCCCTCAGAGCTGGGCACCAGGGTGGGCAGCGCCAGGCAGCCAGCCCTAGCCACCTGCTCTGCCAGCCCCCTTGTTGGCAGGTGGGAGGCAGCTCTGTGGCTGCTCTGCGCATCTGCCTCCTCCCGGAGAGCCCGGCTCTGAAGTTGCCTGGCTGTGGACAGCCCTGTTGCCATGGAAACTGCATCCTCCATCCTTGCCATCGCCTTCATCTCAAAGCCATCGGGGAGAACAGAGGAACAGGGGAGACAGAGGAGGGAGAGGAAACTGTGGCCTGGCTACGCAGTCCCTCCTTCCCCGGCACCTCACAACTTCCCACACAGGGAGCACCAGCTGCCCAAGCCTGCCCCCAGGCCCCTGGAGGGGCGGCCTCCCACCCAGGCCCAGCCCAGCCCGGTCCAGTCCTACCCCCACCACCTGGAGGCCCTGGCACTTGGCACTCCCCTTTGGAGGAAGGAGTGGAGCTAATTAAAATCTCATTGACGGCTCAGCCCTAAATCACTTTAACACTTGCTGGGTCCTGTCAGAATATGTTCAGGGGCATGAAGGCAAAGGCACGAACTTCCAACCCAGGCCCATAGCGAGGAATGAGCTTAGGGATGTCTCTGCAGCCTCTCCTGGGAGACCCCTCTCCATTCTCTGCCCACTGGGGATGGGTGGAGGGGCAGGGGCAGGACTAGCCAAATGCCCTGTCCCTACGGGACCAGGTACAGAGGACAAGGCCTTTCCCTCCCAGCCAGGCACAGCCTCTGAGGACAGAGGGGCCAGCGCTCAGGCCCTGGCTGCCCAGCAGGAGCTGTGGCCCGGGGAGCATGTCCACGAGTTGGTAAATATTGGACAATCAGTGAAAGAAGACAAGGGCAGCTGCCTCTCCCTCAGCTGGCCCCAGGGAGCCCTCGGAGAGCACACTGCCCAGAGCAGAGGACACCAGGTCAACGCCACACTGGGCTGGTCCTGTGGGGGGAGGGGCCTGAAGTCCCCCCAGCCCTGGGCCCACCCCTCCCCACGGTCCAGACAGCCAGAGGCTCAAGGAAGTGTCACTGGGACAGGGAAACCTGCTCTGGCCACCTGATTAGGCCACAACCCAGGGCAACTCTCCCACACACAGGCTTAAGGGGAAGGGGACCACAAGGTGGGACAGACACAGCCGTCCACAATCCCCCCCATCCAACAGAACGAGGTCCACTCACAGGGCCAAGGTGCCGCCAGGAGCCGCAAGAAACCACAAGAAACGGGCTCAGGTGTTCTACCCGAGTCACACCTCCAAGGCTTCCCTCCTACCTGGGCCTCCCACAGGCAGAAATGGGGGGGCACATGACCCCACTGGTCACGCAGGGGTTTCCAGGGGAACTCAGGCACCAGCACTCCCCACCCACACCAGCCCACTCCGCAGGAGAGCGGGCAGACAGGGAAAAGAGCAGCGCGCACAGGTGCCCCTGCCCCAGCTACTCTGGGGGTGTGCCACACCCTTCCTTCTTGCCTCATGGGGTGCTCATCCCCTGGGTGGGGGGAAGCATTTGGCCCATGCAGCTCGGGGTTCTAGTAAAAAGGCTAACCTGGCATGCTGAGCCGAGGATCCCCCCAGTTCTTACTGAATTGGGGGAGGGGTGGTGGGAGAGAGGGGAACCGCCTGGACTACCCCCATGTGGGTGTCTGCCTCAGCTAGGGCTGGGCCCTGGCGAGGACTGGCCCCGGTGAGGACTGCGGGTGGATCCAATTCCCAGGCTGCTTCAATGCCAGGCCTGCATGGAGCAAAGTGACCTCCAGTCCCCAAAAGGAGGCAGCAATGGATGCAGGCCAAGGACTGGACCACACACCTCTGCCCAGGGAAGGCTGAGAGCTCTCCCCAAACACAGCCCCTCACCTCCCACCTCACTGGGGTGAGGGGCACTGGCCCTCCCCATTCAGCCTGAGCTGCCCGGTCCTGCTTGTCCCTCCACGCCAGGGCAGACAGCTGGGCAGCTGCACGGCCAGCACACAGCTGTCACATGCCCCCCAAGGTGGCGGCATCTCTGCAGTGGGTGAAGTGAGGCTTGTTCATTTTTAATTACACAGACACTGCCGTGTACCGCCTGTGCACAGCAGTCCCTGCCAGTGGGGGCTCAGGCCCCAGGAGCCCCTCTGGCAGCTGGTCTGCATGGCACTTGAGAGGCGATGTGAAGCGATGGGAGAGGTGCAGCAGGGCCGCCTGGGGAACGCGGCACTCTGCTATCAGTGAGCCAGGAGCTTCTGTTGACTAGCCTCTTCCTGGCTCCCTCTCGTCCACACCGGGCCTCCAGACAGTCGTGGCCCAGCGTGCACACCTGCAGGGGAGCTGCAGCAAGACTGGTGAGCACCCTCCCCTCAAGCAGCGGGAGGGCCGGAAGCTCTGCAAATGACAGGCCAAGGGGACGGGGAGGGAGAGGGGGCTGCTGGGGAGGGCACAGAGAGGGCAGGAAGGCGCCCACAGCCTTGCATGAGCTGACAGGAGGGTGGCTTCTCTCTGGATCTTGGTCCCCCCAACAATAAAAGATCAAAACTGAGGATTAGCATTACTTAAAGATATGGCAATTGTGTAGCTGAAAAACCAAAAGAGAATCAACAGAGGAAACCA